TGAGCTGTGGGGGACTCAGGTCAACAATTTCTGACATTGCCAGTTAAGGGGAAGACCCAATACTATTATGGGCTACTGGACTCTTTTAGAATATTTTGCGGAGTTTACACACTTGTAATATTCAAATAACGGAACTGAACCAAAAAAGGGTATACAGATGAATGTCCATTTTGTATCTGTGTATTCAAAGAGGTTAAGATAGATATATAGTTATATTCTCTTAATGAAGAGAATGATTTGTTCTAATGGTGTTTGTAAATAGGATCTCAAGTCCGCATCTTGTACAGCAATTAACCACTAAGAAGAATGTGTGCAGTGTGTTAATTATTGAAACTGTCCTACTGATTTGATTTGAAACTGTCTCATTGTTATTTGTTTATCAATAAAATTATGGCAAAAAAATAAAAAAATAAACTAGGAAAAGAAAAAGAAACAACTGCAGGCATATTCAGCCATTGAATCTTTGACCAAGGGGCCAAAATATCTCCTGGAGAAAAGATTGCCTCTTTAACAAATGGTGCTAGGAAAACTGGCTATCCACATGCAGAAGACTAAATCCAGATCCGTATTTATCACCATATACTAAACTAAGGTCAAAACAGGTCAAAGATTTACATGTTGAAGCAGAAACACTTGTTCTGCTGAAAGATAAAATAGGCAAAATTCTTGAAGACATAAGGGCAGGCAAGGACTTTGTGAACAGAACCCCAGTTACACAAGAAATAACATCATTAACCAACAACTGGGGTCATATAAAGTGAAAATGTTCTGCACAGCACAGGGAAGTGCTAGCAGAATCAGTACATACTGGGAAAAGGGAATGAACATGATCAAAAGGAAGGAGTCACCGAGTTAAAGAGAAGGACAGGAAAGGGAGTGCGGGAAAGAGATATATCTATGTATGGAAGCAGGATAGTTTGGAAAACTGTACTGTGAATTTCTGCTGGTCAATGGGAAGGAGTGTTAAACCTTAATTTGTTTTGCCTTCTTTTTTCAATTATTTTTCATTTTTCTGTCTCCTTACTTACATTTTTTTTTCTTTCTTCTTCCAATTTTGCATGCATATATCTGGTAATATGAACAACTAATTTGAAGACAACACTATGCAATACAACAAATACTGTGAAATTCATATTATTTTGTTTAGTGAAATTTTGCATCATTTGTAATTTTTCTGTTTTAATACTACTTTGTATCCTCTTTAAAAAATTTTTAAAAATTAGACTCCCAAAAATAAAGATGCAATCAAAAAATTACCAACTTCTCAGAAGAAAAGAAGTACAAATAAATGGACAATAAATACACAGAAAAAAATGTTTAATGTCTCTGGCCACTAGAGAAGTGAAAATTAGAGCAATACTGAGATTCTATCTTACTCCACAAAGAATGGCTATCACCAAGAAATCAAATAACAACAAATGTTGATAAAGCTGTGGAGGAAAAATGAACCTTTCTACATTGTTGTTGGGATATAAATTAACACAACCACCAGTAAATGAGTATGGGGATTCCTTCAAAAAACAAAAACAAGAAATTCAATTTGGCTCAGCTATTACACTTCATTGTATCTCTGCTAGAGTTAAAGGCATCATGCTGCTGTGATAACACGTATACCTATGCTTATAGCAGCACAATTTATAATAGTTAAATCATGGAAATGGCCTATGCCTGTCAACAAATGAATAAATGTAAAAACATGGTATTTATCTATATATAATAGATGATTATTACTCTATAAAGAAGAATAAACTTGAGTCATTTGTAGGACAATAGATGAACTGAGACCATACCATCATATAAAATAAATTAGAACACTAGCTTAAGTATTGCATTGGTCTCTCATATCAGAACACCCCCCAAAATATATATTTAAAGAGCAAATTACAATGGTACCTCAGGGGCTGGTGAGATGGCTCAGTGGTCTAAAGCACCAACTTAGAACAAGCTAAGCTAAGCAAAGCACAGGGACCGCGGTTCAATCCCCCAGCACCACATGCCAGCCAGCATGCCAGCCAGCACTGCCCCCTTGTGAGCTGAGCTGGCCACACACACACAATAAATAAATAAACAAATAAAAGTTTAAAAAAAAACAAAAAACAATGGTACCTCAGCTTACAAGCTTAATTCTTTCCCAATTCTGGTAACAACTGGAATTGGATAAGAACCAAATCAATGGGGCTAGGGAAACGGCTCAATAGAATAAGCACTTTCCTGGCAAGCACAAGGGACTGAGTTCAATCCCTAGTTCTGCCAAAAAAATCAAATTCAGTGCTTAGGTTCAAAGTTGACCTTATGGGGAAATCTGATTTGGTTCTCAACCAAATTGTTGAAAACATTAAGTTTGTGAACGAAGGTTCCACTGCAAAATATATATAATAGCAAATAAAGAGATAGATTTTTTACAACTCAGAAAGAGATCAAGAGTCAGGGGGAGAGGGGAGGAGGGAAGAAGGGTTTTTAAAAGCATGAAAATGTATTACATGTACCAAAATGTACATGTACCAACCCCCCTCTGAATGTAAACAGTATTCCTACAAACTTGTACTAGTAAAAAGTCAAAGTTGAAGAAAAGAAAAACAATAACAACCTGGCATTTAATAATATAACTACCTTTGCTTATTTTGGGTTTTTCCTCTACTTATTGTTTTTGTTTTATTTTGTGCAGACAGAATATTTTATGTACATTTTCCCCAATTTTTAAGTCCTTACTAATAGGAATTTGGACCTAGTGTGATTCTCAATGTGCTACAAATATTAAAAAACAAAGCCACTGGGGACTGGAGAGATGGCTCAGTGGTCTAAAGCACCTACTTGGAACAAGCTTGGCAAAGCACGGGGACCACGGTTCGATCCCCCAGCCCCACATGCCAGCCAGCCCCGCCCCCTGGTGGGCTGAGCTGGCCACACACACACACACACACACACACACACA